CTGGTTCCTGGGAGACCGTCTCCTCCGTCATTCATCTTAGTTTCTGCTTCTGAGCTCACAGCCTCTCTGTGCAGAGGGTCTGGAGACGCTCAGCGACTCCCATGCTCCATCACTTGACTTTCTGCACTTCCTCTCTGTCGCCAGATCCACTGGAGCTCTGCTCCTGGTGGCTCTCACAGTAAGCTACGTGGAGGGGACTGATCTTCTGCCTTCATGTCCAATGTTAGTAATTTGAGTTCTCTCTTTTTTCTTATTAGTATTGTTGGAGGTTTATGAATTTTATTCTTTTTAAATAATGAACTTAGAGTATCTTAAATTTACTGTTTGCCTGTCTCATTCTATTTACTAGGATTGAATTTACATCGTGTTTTCCAGTTTCTTAGGTAGAAACAGAGTAAGTTTAAATAATTATTCTTTTCTAATATCATTAAAAGCTATGGGTTTCCTTCTGACATTACTATTGCTGTCTGTTTTCTGAGAGCTAAAATATTTTCTATTTTTCCTCCTGTTTTCATTCTCTTATCATGTGTCACTTAGAAGTGTGCTGTTTAATTTCCAAGTTCTGGATGTTTTCTAGACTTTCTTGGTCTATCAACTGCTGATAAAAGGGTATTGAAAATCCACTACAGGCCGGTGCCGCAGCTCACTAGGCTAATCCTCCGCCTGCAGCGCCGGCACCCCAGGTTCTAGTCCCAGTTGGGGTGCCGGATTCTGTCCTGGTTGCTCCTCTTCCAGTCCAGCTCTCTGCTGTGGCCGGGAAGGCAGTGGAGGATGGCCCAAGTGCTTGGGCCCTGCACCCACATGGGAGACCAGGAGGAAGCATCTGGCTCCTGGCTTCGGATCGGCACAGCACGCCAGCTGTAGCGGCCATTCTGGGGGGTGAACCAATGGAAGGAAGACCTTTCTCTCTGTCTTTCTCTCTCTCTCACTGTCTAACTCTGCCTGTCAAAAAAAAAAATCCACTACAGTTTTAGAATTCTCTATTTCTCCTTCCCTTCCACTGTATCAGAGGGCTTTTTTTTTTTCCATTTATTTTGGTGCTGTATATTTGGATATGTCGTTGTTAACGATTATTACTATCTTTCAGAAAATTTAACATTTGTATCATGAAATATCCTACTTTATCTCTTGTAACAATCTCTGTCCTTAAACTGCATTGTCTGGGGCTGGCACTGTGGCATAGCGGGGAAAGCCACCACCTGCAGCGCCGGCATCCCATATGGGCACCACTTCAAGTCCCAGCTGCTCCACTTCTGATCCAGCTCTGTGCTATGGCCTGGAAAGCAGTGGAATATGGCCCAGTCCTTGGGCCCCTGCACCTGTGTACGAGTTCCAGAAGAAGCTCCTGGCTCCTGGCTTCATATTGGTGCAGCTCTGGCCAATGCAGCCACTTGAGGAGTGAACCAGTGGATGGACAACCTTTCTCTCTCTGCTTCTCCTTCTCTCTCTGTATAACTCTGACTTTCAAATAAATAAATAAATCTAACCCCCACCCCCTGCATTGTCTGGTACTAATGTAGCTTCATCCACTTTAGTTCACTGACTGCCTGGTATATTTTTCCTGTTACTTTACTTTCAACTCGTGTTTCTTTATATTTTGAGAAAGTCTCTTGTAGGCAGCATATAGTTAAATTTTGCTTTTATATTCGGCCTGACGATCTTTATATTATAATTGGAGTATTTTGTCCATTTACATTAACATAATTATTGCTATGATGTGACTTCCATCTTGAAACTCTAGTAAGACTGTCATGCAAATGAGGCTGAGCTATCCTGATAAATGAAACCAAAAAACCTCAGTGTCAATCATCCAGCCCCTGGCCACCAGCAGATCCGCCAGCTGTCCATGTGTGTATGAGAAGACCCACCCATCTGACCCGTACCATTGTGCACTAAGCAAAATGACTGTTGCCTTGGCTACTGAGCCTTAAAGACATTTGTTACATAGCTAGAAATTAATACATTATCTCACCAACTATTGCTCTTTAAAAAAAAGAATTTAAATTTTCTTATTTGAGAGACAGAAAGAGTGAAAGAAAGAGATCCCATCTTCTTGTTCACAAATGCCCACAATGGCCAGGGCTGAGCCAGAGCCAAAGACGTAGCTGGGACAATCCAGGTCTCCATCTTGGGTGGCAGGAACCTCCACACTGGAGCCATCACTACTGCCTCCCAGGGTCCACATTAACAGGGAGCTGGAGCCCAGAGCCAGAGCCAGGAGTCAAACCTAGGCACTGTGGCTGTGGGCGTCCCAGCCAGGAGGCTGGCTGCAGGCCCTGTGACTGCTGTTCAGTCACCACACGTCCCTCCTGCAGGCCACTTCTAAGTCTCAATGCTTTTAGCCTGATAGTTTCGCCACCTTATAGGTGTATAAAGTATCCTTTAAGGCCACTTCTCGCTAACTAAAAAACAAAAACGCCTTGCTAAATGTCATTCAGTGCAGTATTTTGAGGCTGTCTGACCTCTGAGAGCTCTGTCCATCTTTGGAAAATTGTCCAGCCCCAGCGACGTCTGCACCCCAGTCCAGGAATCCTGTTTCACCGTTGCTGTATTTTCCTGCTGTTGGCCTTCCCTTCCTTTCAAAACAGAGAGATCTTCAAAATTCTGTCAATCACAACCTCTTTCTTAGGCAACTAAAGCTTCCACCCACGTCTGCTCTTCACTCTGTGAATGAGGAGACACTAAAATGTCTGAGAAATGCCTGAACACGTGTTTGTCCAGGGAGTGCTGCAGGGAGTGAGCAGCACCCATTAGAAGCACAGTTGGTCACAGCCAGCAGACGTGTCCTCTAGCAACGCCAGTGGACACAGCTCGAGGGTCCACCTGGCCAAGCCCCAGCGCCAGCACACCTCCCCATGCCCTGTGACTGCACTGCAGACAGGAGACTGCACACAAACATCTTCAGTTTCTCATGCGGAAATATAGACGTTCAAGGACGCTAAGCAATAACCCTGAAGGCCAGAATGTTAGGTACCTGCTGGTGGCTGAATGTATTTGTTTTCATGCCCTCGCATTCTCAAAGCACAAAGTTTTATTGACGGGAACTCTATATAAAACTTGGAGAATTAAACAAAAACAAACAGATATGGTTTGTTTTTGAGCTGCAAGGGTTCAGAAGTTCCCAGCTCAACTGAGTGTCCGTGGGACCTTCACAGCGCTCACCTGTAAGAATGGGTCAGCTAGAGGTGCCGCCCTGCACAGCCTGATGCCTCTTCCCACCACACATATTCCTCCTGGGCACGGCGCAGCCCGAGAAGGTGTCCTGATGGTGTCGCAGGTGGCTTCTCGCCTGGATCCCGAGGGCACCAACCATGCAACTCGGTGCACGCGGAACTGTGAGCCGTGGGCTCAGGCTGGGCACAGGCAGCCGGTGTGGGGGGTGGGGCTCTGAGCAGCCTCTCGGCCACCTCTACTCCAGTTGAGGCCAGGTGGGGACGAGAGGCCTCTGTGGACTCCGAGATGCCCAGCACGCACTCTCGGGACTCTCATTATTTATGTTGCCCTGTGGACGGCACGCAAGAGCCCAAGGCTGGCCGGCCATTTCCCCAGATGGGGCTGCGGGTCTTGTGGGAGACACAGTGCTGAGAGGGATTCAGGAGAGCCCAGGAACCCCGCACAGCCAGGAATGCCCACCAGAAAGCACAGCTCGGGAAGGCCAAGCGTCGCCAGCAGCTTCCTCCCTTCTGCGGAGCCAGGCTCTGCCCCAAGCTCCTTCAAGCACATGAGCTGCAGCGTGCACCCCAGAAAAAGCCGCGATGGAGACACTCATCCTTGCAACACCCACAGTTTCTGAAAGAAGCCAAGCACTGCGACCAAGACTGCAGACACTGCCGCACGAGGATGGGCCCATGCACGAGGCAGTCTGCCACACACACACACACACACACACGCAAACACATGCAAGCATGCAACCACGCACACACAGACACACGTACATGCAAACACGTGCACACATATGAAAAGACACAAACATGTACAGACAAACATGCACACATGAACACACATGCAAACACAAAAACACAAAGACACACACAAGCGCACACATACACAGAAACACACAGACCCCACAAACACACAAACCCACCACCCCACACACAGTATCTGAGCACCCCCACACTCCAGAACCAACAGCAAGCAGTTTTTATGGTTTCATCATGGCTGCAAAGGCTCCATCCTCAACCTGTTGTGTGCAACCCAGCTCAGGCGCGGCAGGCAGCATGGGGGACCCGGGCAGGATACCCTGGCCAGGGTCACGGGTCCGATGGCTCCTTCAGCCCATACGGTCAGCACAGTCTGTGACTGAAATGCCATCACTGTCGCTCACATGAGGACAGCTTGTGGGAAAGAACTGGAAATTCTGGATGAAATTCATGTGAAACACCTCCCGTGGCCCACACCCCACGGCCAGCGATGCCGTCCTCCTGTGGCCAACACCCGATGGCCAACAGACACTGTCCTCCTGTGGCCCACACCCGATGGCCAACAGACACTGTCCTCCTGTGGCCCGCACCCCACGGCCAGCGATGCCGTCCTCCTGTGGCCCACACCCCACGGCCAGCGATGCCGTCCTCCTGTGGCCAACACCCGATGGCCAACAGACACTGTCCTCCTGTGGCCCACACCTGATGGCCAACAGACACTGTCCTCCTGTGGCCCACACCCCACGGCCAGCGATGCCGTCCTCCTGTGGCCAACACCCGATGTCCAACAGACACTGTCCTCTTGTGGCCAACACCCGATGGCCAACAGACACTGTCCTCCTGTGGCCAACACCCGATGGCCAACAGACACTGTCCTCCTGTGGCCCACACCCCACGGCCAGCGATGCCGTCCTCCTGTGGCCCACACCCCACGGCCAGCAGACACTGTCCTTCCACTGGTTCTTGACCTCATAGCCCATCCTCTCAGCCCTGGGCCCCCAGCCATATGGTCCAGGCCTCCCCTCCTTCTTCTATCTGGGTCACAATGGCCTGGCTTTGCGGGGGCCTGAGGGGAGCCCTCTGAGAAAGGACCCAACACAGCCGCTGGCCTTCACACCCTGGGGCCGGGCTCACGCACACCTGGAACTCCAGGGCCACGCTGAGCAGGTGATTTCCCTTCCGGTCCCACAGGGCAAGGCCAGGACCCAGCCCACTGCCTCCCTATCCATCCCTGGTTGTTCTCAGCCGAACCCAGCGGAGCAGTGCAAAGCCGGTTGGTGGCTGTGCAGCCTCCCTGGAAGCAGAGCACCGCGTGTGTTTCTTCAAATGCCTTAAACACTGACTGCGAACACAGAAACGCTCATCACACATGCCTGTGTGACCTCGCCCGTGCGGAGACTCTCCTCTCCAGGGACTGCTTCTGGGAGCCACGCCGTGGACCCACTGGGCCCTAGGCAGTCTAGGCATTGGGGTTCATCACCAGCGTCCAGGGCTCCGTGGTGAGCGGCACGGAGTGAGGCAAGTGCACCACCCACCCAGCCGCAGAGCTCGGTGGCGGCAGCACGCGTGGGCCGCTGCTCAGCGCTCGCTCAGTCGGGAGTGTGGCCCCACACGAGCTCCCACCTCAGTCCGTCATGCACCCTGCCCCGTCACGTTGCCCCGCGCCACACCCTGTTAGAGGAAGGAGGACAAGTTCCGACGCCGGGCGTCTCTTCTGCAGTGTTCCAGCTCTTTCTCTCCCTGTGGTGGGGGCCCTCCCCGCCTCGCGTTCCACACTCTGCGAGGGGGTGCCCAGGGGTTGGCCTTGGTAGGTGGGGACCGGAGGCGCAGGCCACGCCAGCCCCTGCGTGGAGCAAGGCCCTGGACACGCAGGGGAAGGCGGGCCGCGGGTGCAGGGGGGCTCCCGGGCCTGGTCTGCCAAGCAGAGCCCAGACCGCAGACCCCAGCGGTCAGCGCCCTGGTCCTCTGTCTTCATTCCACCTGCCTGGGAGCGCTGAGAGTTCACGCATGAGAGCTAGGATCCCATTGTGCAAGGTTCGCACACCTTTCTCTTTCGTAAAAATGAAAACATTTGTAAAGCTTTTAAAAATATCCTTGGACAGTGTTTGAAAAACACAACGGATGTGGCAAGCAGAAGCCCTGAGCCCTCGGGGCTGCTCCTGAAAGCCACTCCAGGGACCCTGGTGCCCACGGGCCCTGACCAGTCGTGATAGGGAGCTTCCTCCTGACTTTTGCTCGTCTCCTGGCTTCCCCCTCTGGTCCACAGCTCCCGGTGCTCAGTGTCCTTGTGAGACGACTTCCTTGGTGTCTGCTCTGCAGGGACCCGCATCTCACTTGCTTTCTCAACTGCAGACTGCGCGTGGTCAAGGCCAAGGGAGCGTGTGGAGCCCGGCTGTGCTGAGGGGCAGGGCTGGCTTCCTGCCAAGCTCCCTTGCACACACAGCCTGGCTGTTTATATCTTTCTGCTTTTCTTGTCACTTACTAAGCCACCACGGGGAAGATGAAAAATTGTAGCACTGGTGGTGCCTAAGTCGTCTGGCCGGGTGCCAGGAGAGTGGCCGGTGGCCGTGAGATCGCATGGCGGGGGATTGCCTTTATTTGGCAACCAGAGGAAGGCGCGGGAGCAGGTAAGAATGAGCTAAGAATGTCCTTTGTGACTTAAAAGTCAAATCTGTTTTGGATTTGGGGGCTGGGGGTTTATCCTCACATGTTGGTGTGCCTGCTGCCCCGGCAGCCTCTGGCCCAGGGCGGCCTCTCCTGCGGGGAGCGGAGCGCTGCACGGCAAGGCTGTCGAGTCAGCGCTGGCTAAACGTGGACATATAAGGGAGACGGCGCCGGGCCAGTCACGCACACTCAGCAGGGACTTAGGCTGCGGCCGTGGAAGATGAGACAGTGTCCCAACACTGCCCTGTCACCGGCTGCTCTGTATTTTATGATTTCTGTTGTTGGAAATGGGCTCAGTTTTTGGCTGACACTCGCATCTACAGGCATCTGGTTGTTGTTCTATTCTGAAAACAATTTAAAAATTAGGTTTCTTTGTCTTAAGTTCTCCTCAGATTACCACGATTGCAACCATGACTGGATTTGAAGCTCATGCATTACTGAACTTGGAGGTTTATCTCTCGTAAAACAAAGCTGATACGTTGCAGGGCAATAGGAAATTTGAGTCCTAGAGACTGCAAGCCAAACTTTTTTTTTTTTTTTTTTTCACAAAGATAGGAAAACTTTTGCCAAAATGACAGGCAGTCTCCTGGAACTGACGGGAGTTTAGGTGCCAATCTGATGCAACTTCCTGTCTCTGACTCATTAACTGTTCTGGTGAGATTCTCCCCTTCGAAAGAAAACACATGGAGACAGTGCAGAGGTGGTGCTGAGAAGCCCTGTTTCCCAGGGAGAAACAAGGGTTCCACCAGGTGTCACTGAAGCTGCAGCCATCAGCAAGGCCACTGCTCAGGGCAGCCATCCTTGGCGGTGCCACCACCATGCGGGGTCCTTCCTGCAGGCCCAGGTGCCCCCAGCCAGGCCAGGCCAGGAGCCGGGGATCTTGCACTGAAACTCCCTTCTGGGCCTCACGCCCCGCAGCAGCATCTCACAGTCCAGGAACCTGCCCTGCACAGCCCCTGCCACGGGAGGGCTGATTTCTATTCTAGCCCCAAAACGCGTTCATTAAACTCCGCCTGTGTGTGGGCTGACAGCTCTGACTACACAACAGAAGGAAACTGCTGAAAGTGAAAAAACCATCCACTGGGTCTGGTGAGTGAGCCCAGCCACCTCGTGGATCTGCAGGGAGCTCCCACACTGAGGCCAGAGGCCAGAGGTCAAGTGGCCGCCTGGGATCGGAAGCTATGTGGTGCATAGCTCGGCCATGGCGCTGGCCTGGCTGAGGTGGGGCCCCGGCTCAGCCCAGCTCCCAGCACTCTGCCCGCCACGGGGTCCTGACCTCACTTAGTTCAGTCGTTTCACTATTCAGGGGTTTAAACTAAAGCGTCTGTCAATGATTTCAGCCAGACTGGCACAGGGAATTCTATGTACTCTGACCAAGGTGGGTGGTGAATTGGATTAACCCTTTGAACAGCCCCAATGCCACTTGTAAGTATCCATTCACCGTGAGCCAGAAGTCCCCTGGACTGTGTCAAACAACAGTGAAAGCACGCAACAGCTGTGACGGAGCACCCTGCAGTGACATCTATCTCGTTCCCTAAACAAACAGGACACCCCTGGGCGCACGGCATCCTCTGGGTGTCTTGGAGTCTTCTCTGCTGTTCTGGTCCTACAGGTCCCTCCCATGACAGCCATTGTGACTCCATTCAAGTGGCTCTGATGTTAGGACATGCCCTCCACCTGGAGGGGGTGAAGGGTCTTGACTGGGAAGGCATCAAAACCCCCTTTGGAGTCTCTCAGATCTGAAACACCCACTCTGAGGGAGAAGGGAGCAGAGGACCCGACTCAGTCATTCTGATACTGGGGTCACCTATGTCAACAGGTCAGCTTTCCTGACCGTGAACCTCCTTAGAGATGATCCACAGTACTGAGCCTTGTGGAACATTCTGGAACAGCAGGGCATCAGCAGACATCCCAGGAGACCATGACTTCTGGGTGTGCAATGGCAGCTGCATGGCCCGTGTGCTTTCTGCTGCTGTAGATGCTGTGTCCCTCAGCCATGGGCTGCAGACACCGACAAGCTCACAATTGAAGGCATTAGGCAGTCCCAGTTTTATGTGCACAAAATAAAAACAGAATCATTTTTTCATCCACAGTTCAGACATCCTTTCCAGTAGGCCTAGGGGTAAAGGCAGGTAGGTGTTACAGAAGTGCCCCTAGGAACTGACAAGCTCCCGCCAGAACACAGCAGCAGTTGGCCAGAGGGATAAGGGAGGCAGGGCCTGGTGCTGGGTGGCCACAGCCAGAGGCCTCAGTGTGGGGAACAGAGCCACCTCAAAGGCTGTAACACAGAAGGTCTCCCCCACACACGGGGCAGAGCAGCCCTTGGACAGCGCCCCAGTCTGCAGCCACTGCCTCAGGACCCTGCAGGCTCTGCCCAGCAGGGAGCTGACACAGACCTGGGCGACAGAGCAAGTAAGGGCCATATCTCAGCCTTGGCTCCTGCCCTGTGAACAGTGAGTGTCTTTATCTTGCCTCCTGCTGCCCACCGGGCCTTGAGCAGCACCTTGTCCTGGTTCTGTTTGCTTTGGCTTCACTTAAGTGGAGGATTGCCCTGTGTTTGTGAACTGCACTGAATGCTACCTCTCTCAGTAACAGCTCTCCCTGGATTAACAGATGCCGAGAAAGCCAAATGGCTGACAAGCTCCCAAACTAAAATAGACCTGAGCACACACGGCCCTCCCCCACAATCTCTGCTCTTCCATCTGAATTAAATTCCAGATGTTTACAAGCACAAAGGATCTGTGCGGTACTCTTGTCGGAAACGTGGTGGTGGTTGTGTGAAAGTCCAGATAGGAGCCAGAGTCCACAGCCTGGCTTAGCCTAACCACAGAGATCCAAGAGCAGCCCATTTGCATAAGAACTGGGCTCACTGTACTAGGAAGGGCTGGTGGTGAACACAGCAAAGACGCTCCTTAGGTCACATCCAGCCCCTGTGACACCTCCCAAGTTCACTTCAGATTGTTGTTATTCAGTATTTTTAGATGCCAGATGTCTTGATAGACTTACAGAATTGAATTTTGGTTCTGCTAATTAGTCCTTAGTATGGCTGGGCAGTGGGCCACTTTATGAGGGCTCCAGGTCAGTGTCCATGTCTGTGATGGCCATGGGGGGGGGGTCTCCTCGCAGGGCTCACCAGTCACCCTGCACCTGCTGTCAGACCTCCCGCGCTCAGCATTTGGCACCTGGCACACCACATGCTCCCTTGCATGCCCCCCGCCCTCGGGAGCCTGAGTCGTTCTTTCTGCTCGTGGCTCTGTTCACACACCTGGAACAGAACAGTATCGCTGTGTGTGGGATGGAGGGACAGGTGGGTTTTTCCAGTAGTGCTGCTCCTAGTGTCAGGTGCACACCCATCAGATTCACTCAGGAGCTGCCCATCAGAGCCAGGGAAGTTGAGGCTGCCTGACCCCTTGTGATTTAAGAGTTTGTGTCCTCTAATTTGTACCCATTATGCCTTTTCTCAGGAAAGCACTGTCCAGGTGGGACAAGCTGTACTTAGTTCTTGCTGTAAAGAATACGTCCTGCACTAGTTGCAAAGCCAAGCACCATCAACAAGCAGCTGTGGACCCATCAGCTACTGCTGACTCCTAGGGCCGTCACTTTGCTTGGAGGTCAGATGAAGGCAACCTGAGCCCCAGGGAGAGGCAGGCTTCAGTCTGGACCTCAGGTTTTCTGCCCAGGAACCTGGGCTCTGATCCAGCCCTGTGGATAAGGACAGGAAGGAGGGTGGGGTCTGTCCAAGCCTCTCCAGGTTCAACCCACCCATGGTGAATCCCCCTGGCCAGCCAAGGCCCCACACCTACTCTGCTTCATGTTCTCTGTGTTCTGGAGGTTTATTCTAAGTGTTTTTCTTCAACTCTCATTGCACAGGACACCAGCAAGAAAGAGGTAAACATGTGTGCTCACCTGGAAATCTTTAAAAAAAAAAGATTTATTGATTTATTTGAAAGTCAGAGTTACACAGAGAGAGGAGAGGCAGGGAGAGAGAGAGAGAGAGAGGTCGTCCATCGGATGGGTCACTCCCCAACTGGCCGCAATGGCCGGAGATGTGCCAATCCGAAGCCAGGAGCCAGGACAGGAGTTTCTTCCAGGTCTCCCACGTGGGTGCAGGGTCCCAAGGACTTGGGCCATCTTCTACTGCTTTCCAAGGCCATAGCAGAGAGCTGGATCAGAAGTGGAGCAGCCAGGTCTCGAACTGGCACCCATATGGGATGCTGGCGCTTCAGGCAGTGGCTTTACCCACTATGCCAGAGTGTCAGCCTGCACACTTTTTATTTTAATTAATTTTCATTTTATTTGAAAGGGAAATCCTTTATCAACTAATTCACTTCCCAGATTCCTGCAACAGCTAGATCTGGGCCAGACCAAAGCCAGGAACCCAGATCTCAGTCCAGGTCTCCCATGCGGCTGGCAGGACCCAAGTATTTGAGCCACCATCTGCTGCATCCCAGCATGCAGAGACAGCACTTGAACCCAGACACGGAATGCAAGTGTCCTGAGTGTCAGCTCAGTGGTTACACCAACACTGCTGTCCTGGACCCAGTCTAACCAACTTTCATTTTCCAGCTTCATGGCCTGGACCACCTTTGTGCTGGGAGCTGTGGGGAGCAGGGCCTGTCTCCCGCAACATGGCGAAATAAGTACTGAGTCTACCAAGACTAGACTAGACTAGACCACTGAGACTATTAAGACTAACTCTATGCATCTGATCTCCCATCATATGGCGCTGAGAGAGAGTAAACAAATCTTACACAGCTGCTTGGTTAATTAGCTGATTCCTGACCCAATCCCTTAAAAAGGGGAGAGAGGCAACCTGCGCGGCAGCGCCCCGCTGAGAGAGTCAGTGGGAGGGCTCGCTGGTGCCACTCCTCCGTGAAAGCGGGGGGAGCAGCGGGGGTGCCGCCCCTCCGCGGAGGCGGGGGAGCAGCAGCAAATCCTGGAAGGGCCAGGGAAAGAAAACAGTGTCCGGTGTCGTTCCTCCGCGAGTGGGGGAGTGACAGGAGCAAGGTACTGTCAGTAACCATGGGGGATTTGAAGGGATGGGGGAATACTCAGTCCTGGCCATGAACACTGTGAAGTCCCCAAGCACCCAGGCACCTTGGTCACAGAATTTTACCATGCCGATTGACAGTGAGTCATTAACACACTTCTCATTTTATTATTTTGAAATGTTGATGGAATAATCTCAGGAGAAGTTTCGGGCTCTAGAGGAGTGAAATCTTGTACATCAAAGATGTGTTCTTCAATTAAACGGTCAATCATATCCACTGTAGATTTCCAATCAGATTCTGAGCCAAAGCTTCTGCCAAAGAGAACACTGATCTCTGGGTAAGCAAGAAATATGCAGCAGAAACCCACAGGAAAATAGATGCATTTCTTCCTGCTAAAATGAAAATCTGCCAAAGAGTCAGGAGCTAAGCTCAAGGGAGGAAAAGAGAAAGGGGAAGAGAGAGAGACAGAGAGAGAGAGAGAGAGGGAAGGAGAGAGAGGGAGAGGCAGAGAAAGCGGTGCTGCCCCTGCAGGTTCATGGCAAATGCAGACACCATCAGGGACTCCAAACTGTTCAGTAAGCAAGTGGGGAAAGAGGACAGGTCCTGATTTATTCTGTATAAAAACAAATTGAGCATTCTTTTCGCAGTGACAATGCATCCTTCATGCTGCTGGTGATATCTAACAAAACATGAAAAGGAAGACAGTGCCACATGGCACTCTCTCTGGTGTATCTTAAGTGAAGTTTGGCCACTGACACAGCACAAAAAATAACTGTATATACTAACACGAAAATGAAAAAATTCAGGCAGGGAAAAATTGCCACTTGATGCAGCTGGCTGTGAAATCCCCAGATCTAAGTCCATGGTTAGCACAGAGACTAAAATCTAACGCCAAGTAAAGCTTTGTTTAATGGGAAGGATAAACTGACAGAGTGGTTTCCATAGCAACACAAGGAGCTGCAGGTATCCCTGTGAGATCAGATAACACCCCATTGCTACACTTGTTGAATGCGTTTATCTTGATAATCCATCACTCGGACTCCTACCTGGTAGTACGTTCCCCTCTCTTTCAGAGAGACTGGGCCATTTGGATCAAGTAATTTTCATAAACTGTGTTAAGAAATGCACATACAGAGAGCAGAAACAGGCAATAGGTAAGTCAGTGTGGATTGTGTTGAGCATGGGCGTGCAAGCTCGTGCATCAAGGGTGAGCATCTTTGCTCCACTTTAGTCCCCCAACTTCTTCCCATCTGCACAGCACAGGCTCACTGGCAGACAGGCCTTCAGCTCTTCTTTATGTGGCTTTTCCAGAAGGTCTGAGACTCACCACCAGCTCCCCCTCACCAGACTTTACCCAGCTGGACCCCAGGAGTTCTGTCATTCACTGAGCCACCCAACTGTTGTCCTGCTTATGGGGTGATATTCAACTCCTCACATAGGTGCCTTGGAAAGTTGCTTAAGACACCAGGGTAGGAGCATTACAATGCTAGGAAACATTGCAGAAAGGGCTGGGACATGGGTCAGAAGCTTTGAGTCTTGCCCTGACTCTACAGCAGCTGGGCAGTGTAGCAGGTCAGGCCACTGCTTGGGACGCCAGCGTCCCATACAGAAATGTTGGCTCAAGTCCTGGGTCCTTCACTTCAGGTCCAGCTTCTTGCTAATGTCCAGCCTTGGAAGTAGCAGATGATGGCACAAGTACTTGGATACTTGGAACCATGCAAGAGACCTGATCCTATCTTTGGCTTGGCCCAGTCCTGATTGCCATGGGCACCTGGGGAGTGAACCAATGCATGAAAGTCTCTCTCTCTCTCTCTCTCTCTCCCTCCCTCCCTCCCTCCCTCAGTTTGCCTTTCAAGTAAATAATAAATCTTAAAAAAAAAAAAAAGCAGTAGATGCGCACTCCATGACTCATGTCTTTCAGGTTTCAGGATAGCTCCTGCATGCAGCTAGCCTGCTCACGGGTGGGGGGCCTGCAGGCAAGAAGACAAAGATGCCTGATTCTTGTGTTTGTCTGCAGATGGGATGTCCATGTTTTCCTGGTCTACTCCTTCAGCTGAATGGAAACAGCCATACTCCTTTTCTTCCAGCTCCCAGCAGAGTACTGGAGGAAGAGACACCAGCTGTGACATGCTCCAGCCCCCAGTGGTGGGGGGAGAATGAAAGCCTTCCAAGTGGGGAAGAAGGCCACACACAGCGACCATGATGGCGTGAAGAGTGCTCCCCTCCTGATGCATGTGTGTGCAGAGTGCAGGCACACAAGCATCCTGTGTATGTGTTTATGCCACCCTCAAGTTTTCTGATACTTGGACCAAAAATCATTCCCATAGTGCGAACAGAACACAGGAATAATAAACCTTGAAAGACAAAATAGAGAGGCCCAAGTGCAGGTTGGGGAGAAAAAAGAGAATCTAGAGAGGGGCTCTTGGAGAGGAAGGCCAAAAGGCGCTATTCAAAATAAAGGCAAGATGAGAGTTGTGAATTATGAAATTTCCAATAGAACAATGAAAAGACAAAAAAATAGAAAATTCCCTTTGGCACTGGGGAGCAGGGCAAAGAGAGGTGACAAGCCTTTGTCAGCCAGAAACCAGGAGATGCCATCGAAAGGAGTCCAGTGTATCTGAAAACACCTAAACTGGGGTGCGGCGCCTTCCGGGGACTTATTAAGCGGGGGACTTGTTAACTGCAGGTTCTAGTTCCCTAAGTATCTGTGGTGAGGGTGAGTCTGCCTTTCTAATGAGCTCATCCTGGACTGAACTGTGCAGAGCAAGCACCGAATGACTTGACAGACACGGGCTGCAGGCACCACAGCCCCCAAGCCCGTGTGGAATGGGAAGGAAATGGGTGGGGAGGGTGTTATTGGTGTGGATCTGTTTAAAACGTGTCTATTTCATCTGCCCAGATATGTCAGCATTCTGGGGAAGAACGTGTATATTGAGGGAGAACAAACAACCTGAAAGTGGTCTCTGTCTGACCTTCAATGAAGATTTTATTTAAGTCATGGCAGTGGTGAGCAATGTCACAGTGATCATGACCATGTGTCTTCTTGAGTGACAAAAGGAGCCGGAGCCCACTTTCAATATTCCCCAATGCCCAAGCTCATGGTTAGCTGGTCTCCATGCTTGACATCACTGAGGCTTGGAGAGGTGGAATCCCACAGCAGGAAGTGCAATATCTCTGCCCTTATGTAGTTATTAAAATTTAAATATTAACACTAAAATAAGTATAATAGTGAATGTGTGGGGCAGGCACTTGGGGCAGCACATCCCATATCAGAGTGCTTGGGGTTGACTCCCAGCTCTGCTTCTGATCTCGGCTTCTTGATCATGCACACCCTGGAAACAGCAAGTGATGGTCCCAATAGTCGAGTCCCTGCATTCCTGTAGGAGGCTTGGATTGAGCTCCAGAATCCTGCCTAGGGGTCTAGCCCAGCCTCAGCTATTGCAGGCATTTGGGATGGGCAGTCTGTCTCTATCTCTCCCTGTCTCTCCACCTTTCAAGTAAATAAAAATAAATTTGAAAATATATAGAGAGTAAAATAAATATTGTAAGAATGCAAAAAGTAATCAAAATATCCACAAATTATTATAAGTCCATTTCTATATAATGGCATAAAGAAGTTAAGCTTTACAACAAATACAATAATGAATAGCAATTTTCCTTATGAAGTGCTTCTTTGCTTTAAAAATAACCACAAGGTCTTTCTATAACAAACATCCTTAACACATGTAAGATTCCATTCAACTTAAGTTTCACCCATATTCTTGGGGGAATTACAAGCAGATCCTGAGGGCCAGCTCGGCAGAAATGCTCTGTGAAACACAGAGCCGTCACTCGAGGGCACTTCCACAGATGCCAAACGTTGGAAGTGTCTGGGTGACGGGTCCCAGTTTTCATTTTATGTCCGAGCGTCCTTGCTGCTCGCATAGCAAACCCTGGTGGAGAATTAACATTTCTCAGAATCAACTGCGTTTTAAAAGATGGAGGAATTACGATAGCCAAGCGCCTGCACATGGAGCTGTTCCTTCACAGACCTGCCAATCATGAGGGTTCAAATAAAAGTCAAGTGGAACGAGCTCATTCACGTCTTGCACAAGTCACAGGAGGAGAAAGCCGAGCCCGGGGAAAGCCACACCTCAGAGTGATGTAAACTGCTGTCACTATTTTCTGGCACTCTGATTTCAACTTGCTGACACTGAAAGTGGGATTTCTTCAAATTTTGGTTTGTACATGAAATTTGTCATCAGAAATACTCATCAAAGTTTGAGTATGAACACAACTGTAGGCAGTAGAACTACTGACCATTTTAAATATCTGTCAGTGTTACAAACAGTCCCTGGAAAACTCTGCAACACTAACACTCCAACCAGAAAGGCATTTAAAATCACACCAGTCAATTCCACGTGTTCTTCCAACCCAGCCTCTCAGTTGAATCCTCACTGACATGGTCACTGGTGACACTCAGTAAGGGTCCTATCCGAAAACAGTTGAGGACACCAAGGGTTCTAAAAACTGCAAACTGCAGTATTTTACAAAACAAATGCAACATAAGGTCAGTTATTAAAGTGTGCAAGACAATTATGACATATTTTTGCCTTGATAAAGCCACAGTGATGTAAGATACAGGCTGTGAAACAGAGGGTCCCTTTCAGAGGTGGGGTCACTTCTCCTCACTGGGGACAGCAAGAGGCTCCTGTGCCTGCCAAAGTCTTGCCAGTGCAAGATAATGCAGACTTCTTCTTTTTTTCTTTTTTCTTTTATTTCAGATAGAGTTAGACACTGAAGAGAGAGACAAAGAGAAAGGTCTTCCTTCCATTGGTTCACCCCCAAAATGGCCGCTACAGCCAGAGCTACGCCGATCCGAAGCCAGGAGCCAGGTGCTTCCTCCTGGTCTCCCATGTGGGTGCAGGGGCCCAAGCACCCAGGCCATCCTCCACTGCCCTCCCGGGCCACTGCGGAGAGCTGGACTGGAAGAGAAGCAACCGGGACTAGAACCCGGTACCCATATGGGATGCTGGCACTGCAGGCAGAGGATTAGCATAGTGAGCCACAGCACCAGCGATACTGCAGACCTCTAACACGACACTGCCACAACTGCCAATTACTTTTAGGCTGATAGTTTTTGTGGTGTGTTTTTCAAATATGGAGGATGGTTACATTAAAACAGCGTAACACGTCAACAAGTCTCATCCTCACAGCAGTGAGCTCTGCAGTGTTGCCATTGAGCTAACATCATGTCCAACCCCAGAACTCAGTTTCAATGCCCAGAAACTGGAAAACAGCCAACCTTGGGGCTTTTTCAGATCTTCTTACAGCTTTTTAAAAATATTTATTTGGCTTATTTGAAAGATAGAGTTAGAGAGAGAGAGAGAGAGAGAGAGAGACACACAGAGAGAGAGAGAGAGAGAGAGAGAGAGAGAGGTCTTCCATCAGTTGGTTCACTCCCTAAATGGCTGCAATGGTCAGAGCTGAGCCAATCCAAACTCAGGACCCAGGAGCTTCTTCTGGTTCTCCCGCATGAGTGTAGGGACCCAAGGACTTGGGTGACCTTCTGCTTCTTTCCCTGGTGCATTAGCAAGGAGCTGGATCAGAAGTGGCGCAGCTGGGACTCGAACCAGCATCCATATGGGATGCGGGCACTTCAGGCCAGGGCTTTAACTGCTGTGCCACAGTGCAGCCCCTCACAGTTTTTTTTTTACAAGATGTGTTTATTTTTCTTGAAATGCAGAGTTACAAAAAGGGAGAGGCAGAGGCAGCGGGAGAGGCAGCGGGAGAGGGAGAGGGAGAGGGAGAGAGAGAGAGAGAGAGAGAGAGAGAGAGAGAGAGATCTACCATCCATTGGTTCATTCCCCAAATAACTGGGACAACTGGAGCTGGGCCAGTCTGAAGTCAGGAGCCAGGAGCTTCTTCCAGATCTCCCATGAGGGTGCAGGGGCTCAAGCACTTGGTCCATCTTCTGCTTTCCCAGGCCATAAGCAGAGAGCTGGATTGGAAGTTGAACAGCTAGGGCTTGAACTGGTGCCCATATGGGATGCTAGCAGTGCAGGCGGAGGCTTAACCTACTACGCCACAGTGCCAGTCTTCTTCTGAAAGTTTTTAAAAGGGATCCACAAAGAAGATGTGCTTATTACTGTATCACTGGACATTTGTCCACAATGTTTGTAGAGAGCAAAAAGGTGGGTACAAAGTGGGTCTCTCCTGCATACCTCAGTGTACACTGATGGATGCTGGGATTCTGAATCCTGCTGCCAGTGGAAGTGCAGCAGACTTGAAGATCAAGTGCACTGGAAGACTGTCACTTCCTCAAATCTGTGGAGAGAAATCCAGGTGAATTTGAATTTGAACATACATGGAGGGGAGGAAAACCCAGGAACACATTTGATGCACTTGAACTTATCGACTTTTTACCTCTCAGTCACTGAGGCTGGGTCCTGAGAGAGAGCCTCACACGCAGGCTCACAGAAATGACCGAGGGCGTGGGCCCTGTCTCTGCGTTCGCCCTGCACAAAGCTGTGCCAACAGGTTGTAAGACAGACAGCTGAAACAAACGTTGTTCTCAAAAAGTAGGATTCAGACAGTAATGCCAGGAATGTATTTGGTCAGTCAACTAAATCGTAGCCAGCATGGAAAAGGAGTACCTGCTGCTGCTTAGTTTATAAAGAACATTCAATCTACTGTTTTATTTAATCCCTTAAAATAAAGCCTTTTACTAAAAATAAATGGGTAGCAACCTCATTTCACACAGGGAAAAGTAAGAGCCAGGAGCTGAAGGGACTCGTCTTGGGCCATGGGGACAGTGGCAGAGCAGGATTCAGGCAGAGCTCCCTGGCTTTCCCATCCACCAGAAGTCCTGCCTGCCCTGAGAAGCCCACACACCTAGTTGCTTCCTCTGGAATTGCTCTACCAGGTTCTGCCGTATAAGGACAAAGAGAAAACCTCCGAAACGTGTTTAGCCTGAATTCTGCAGAGCACAAATTAAAGAAAGCACTTGACCTAGAGAAACCTAAACTATGGGATTCATTGCCAGAAAGGTGGCAGGGGTGGCAAATGTAAGATATCTGAAAGATCTGCAAGGAGCCATTCAACCACCTGAAGATGAGGGAGTAAGACCCAGTGCCTGTGCCTCCCTGAGGTGGACAGCAGGAAGGACAAGCCGCATGTCTTGCTGCAAGTGCCCCCTGGGGTTCCCCCTGTGGGAGCCAGAACCCAGAGCTGGATGGACCCTGGCGTCCTTCTCAGGCCACCACAAGCTTCTGTACGTTGTGTGCAGTTGGGGGCGTGCCATGCTAGGTGTCTGGCTCCCTTGCACGGGGAGGGGGCACGTGGGTCCCTCTGAGATGCACTGCCAGCCACAAGGCTAACTGAAAATATGGTGCTTTGCTTTCATTTAAGGCTTCTTTTGCATCATATTCATTTTATGAGTCACCTATTTTTTTTCTAAGTAGGCTAAAGCTACATCTTAAAGAAGCTGAGAGATGAGAACTTACTTTGCTCACCACAGCCTTACCTGTTAGCACAATGCTCTCACGTGGTGGGCACATGATCTACCAGATGAATGAATGAATGATCTTTGCAGGGTACACACTTCCAAGTTCAAGTGCTTTTTATTCCACTGTACTTTTAAATGGACTGTTAGAAATGTACATCACTGGAAATAACATTCTCAGCATGAAGCAATGAAGAAAAATGATTTTCTGAGGAATATGCACTTTTCTTCACTTTCCACTATCGTCTCCACACCCTAGTTCTGAAATTCCTGCCTTTTTCACTTGCACTCCTGCAAAAGTAGCTGCTTCTGCTTCTGAGTTCAAATACCACTTCTTCAGAAATGGCCCCCCTACCACCTAATACATGCGGATTCCCTCCCTCTCTTCTCTTGCTCACCATTATACTTTGTTTTTCCTTGCATGCTTTATAACTTCTATTTAGTTATCTATTTGCTGGTGTTCACCCTCTAACATAAGCACTCTACAAGGGTAGCAATTATTTACAGCACTTCATGGAACACTTTATACACCAAATACTCAACAGCACAGTCAGTAACAGCATTCG